CTGGCACATTGGGTAAAAATTGTCTTCCATGTTTCACCCACAGGAGCGCAAGCGAGCAATGACGTCACTTCTTCCAAGGGACGTATGTGGAAGGCAGTAAAAGGTCGACTCTCTTCCCCCAGCAAGAGACAAAGCGCTGTTGGAAGGGTGCAAGGCCGTGTGAAACGGGACACGTTGTGTAATGGCCACACGCCTTGCTAATGAGCACACCCTCACTAGGAGGAGCAGAAGGCTGACAAGAAGGGAACGTCCCATAGCAGGAGGTGCCACAAACTGGGGCGGGGAACTGGGGCACCAGGCAGCTGCTGGGAGCAGCAGGAAGTCAGCCCAGATTTGCAGTGACGGGGGGAAAGGTAAAAGCGGCAGTGGGAGATGACTCAATTAGAGACCGAACAGAACTACACCACCCCCACCCCCCAGCCCCGTATTGGAGCACATCTGCATCAATTAAAGGACAGTGTGGCTTTAAACCCACAGAAATTGTTAAGATGTGGTACTAACCAGTAATTATAATTAAGGGTGTGTATTTCTGTGTTTTGAACTGTATAAATATTTCAAGGAGTTTGCAGGCCGGTGTGCTACCTTTGTGGGTTACCCCCCTAGCACCCACCTCTGCCGAAACAATTAATTAAATACCTCTGCTCTGCATGTGCACTGGCATCTTGCACTCCAGGTTAATGACTCCGCTTTGGGACAACAAAAGTGCAAACTAGTTCACAGAGCAGAAGCTGCTTTTGTGGAGAAATGGCAAACAACAGGAGGCACTGCCCCAGCAGCACACGGCTCTGTCTTGGCTCTTCTTTTTCCTAAAAGGGGGGCTGTTTCAGTGAGGCGGCCGCACGCACCTGAGGGCTCAACTGGGGGGCGGGGAGGCAGCCCTCAGCGGTGCCTGACACCCTGTCCGGCCATGAAGCTTTGCGTGCCACCCAACCATGTGCAGCCAAAAGGAAGATGGCCTTTCTCCACGCCCGCAGGCTGCCATGTTTCAACGGCAGTGAAGGGCAGCACTGGGGTTGTGCATCCTCTGCTGCCTTGCCACATGTCCTCAACATGGCGTGCAGTGCAAGGCGAGACAGGGAACACGTCGCCACCAACCCCTGGTATATCAAGTCTACTGTTCCAAATTACATCTCCCGCTCGTGGTTTTTGAATTTTCAAGACAAAACCCACCATCTGCCATCACTGACTTCAAACATCAGAGTAGTCAACTGGACTAAATCAAAAAGATTTAAGCGCCCGTAAAGGCACCGAGAAATCCCTCCTCCTCCTCCAGGCAGCAGAAAGAACTGCATGCCACAACACTCCCATGGTAGCTCCGCAGCTGGAACACAGGCTTTCACAGAGAGACTGATCTATATGTTTTCGGCTGTGAGAAACATTAAAAGGCTCTCTGCTCCTCTAAGCATTTACTAATAGAATGGTTTATCAAAGTTCCAGCACTTTGGGAAATCTACATTACACTGACTGAAAACACAGGCACTCGGGGATAAAAGTCTTACACAAAAGTACACAGGGTAGTTTTTTGGCAGGGTCAAGACAATTTGGAGTATTCCTTCCAAACAGGGACTTGATTCGTGCCAGACAGAACACCAAGAAACAAACTGTGCAATTCCCCAAAATCATGCTAGGTTTTAAGTCATGTGTCTTTAGTTATCAAAAGTCAATTCATCTATACACCAAAGTAAGTGGGAAAGGTCTCTTCTATTTCATCTCGGCTAACCTTTTAGAAGATGACTGTGGATGGCCTCCACCCCCTGCAGACCCGAGGCACTGAGGTATGCTCCAAGGAACCACCTTTGCACACAGTTACAGTCACCCTCGTCCCAGCATGATTCATCTGAACAGATTTATATTCTTTGTACAGAGCAATTTTTATTTTAGAACAGATGAGCTCATTTCTCTTAACATAACTTCAATAATGTGTGAATAAATTCAAACAGTTGGAATACTAAGGTAGTTCTTTAAAAAAAATCCCTAACGGTCCTTTCAAACTTGACCAACGCAGGCATATTTAGAGATAAATAGCCAAGTACAGTTCCAGAAGTCCTGAGAAACTGGAGCATTCAAAGGCGCAGTTTGCCCGTAATAAATCATTCTCCTCCCCATCATTCTACTTTTGCGTTAGCTTCTTAGAGTAGTTCTTGGCAAATTGCTTTTGTACTTCTTCTTGCCTCTTTCCAAGTTTAATTGTTTTCATCAGGTTTAAGGTTCTTTTCAGTTCGTGCACAGGCCTGTTTACAAAGCCACAGTATTTCCTTTTCGGAACAAATTCCAGAGCCTTCTTCCAGTCTCCAGTATCCTTCAAGGTTAATAAAATATGCATCATTTGATCCAGTGTGAGATTTTTGGCACCAGAATTCCAAAGCAAGTACTTCTCCAACGGAAGGGCCGCAGTCTCCAGCCCCAATCGCTTTGCCCGTGCTAAAGAGACTCCTGTTTTTATGCTCCTGTCAACCATTGACCCAATAATATAGATTTTATCGTGATCGAATGTTTTCATTACTTTGGGAGAATCAGCAGTCAGATAGATAAGCTTATCCTTTGGAAAGACGTCTGTGTAGCACTGGTCTGTCACAGTGATAAGCAGTTTGCCCCACGCCTCTTTATAATGCTTGATAAATTCCTTATGATAGAGGCTGTCGTCATTGAAGTTACAGAAGTGGATGTGGAATGGATCTACAGATCTTCGATTGCAGCTTTCGCTTAACACTATCTGTCTCACTGTATTTGCGACTTCTCGGACAGACATATCTTTTTCGTAAGACATGTCAAATATTAGCGGTTGGCCAAAGATCATAGACTGAGCAACCCTCCAATTGTATGCTTTATCCATAGAGCTGGCCCACAAACATATGAATGAACTCCTCTTGGTCTCATCAGTTTCTGAAGGTTGCTTTTGTGTTTCTAGCCTCCTTTCCCTTTTCTCATCCATCTTCCTTTTGTCATTTTTCTTGTAAAGTTCTTTGAGATGCAAGTATTTTAAATACTTCTTTTTGGCTGACTTGGAAGGACATTCCATAAAGGTTTTTAGCTGTTCTTCACTGATATTTTCTGGAACTGATCTGCCAGCTAGTCTCCACATCTCTAAAATCTCACGTGCAGCAGCCAAAGTGGAAAGATCCTTACGCTCAGAGACCGTCTCACTGACTTCTTCTTGCAACCCAGACTTCATTACCTTCTTCCATGCATCTAAATCTAGTTTTTCTGAGGGACTCCCTGAATTGTCCTGCTTCAGGCAAAGTGATAAACTCAGAGTTCTACTGAGTGGAAACAAATCCTTTTTCATCCCATGTTGTGCAGCAAATGGAAGGACAGAACTTCGTACAATTTTTTTCAGAAGCACATTAGCAGACTGCATACTTGGACATGTGCTGTGTTCAGACACTTATCTGCAAGACACCAATAAGAGGGAGAAAAAAACTTGTCAGAAACCATGGAAGAAAATGGACACAGATTTTCATCCTTAGTAACCCTGACAGGCAGTAACTTACTTCTCAGTGAATACTAGAAATTCCTGCTTCCACTATTACTTTTCTACTGTTTTCTAAATAAAAATGGCGTATGTTGCTCTGCTGGGAAGAGACATGGTTAGCTCTGCTGCTTAGAACAGCTATACTTACTGCAATTCAAAATGTGTTCAAACAACTTTAAAGTATTGTCTGAGATCTATTTATCTGTATCACATGACAAGCGAGAACCTTCACAACCAAAGCAAGCAAAGTGCTGCATGGAGACTGAAAATATTTTCATACACGTCCAGAGGTGCCTGCCTAATTTACCTGTACTCCGAAAATGGACAAGATGCCTCATCTTGTAACATTTTCCGGGAAAACCCTGTATCACAGATCACATTTTTGCTTTTACCATTATATTTTGGGAAAGCTCTACTGGCAAACTTTAGTGCTAAAGTTTTCCCTCTTCTGTGCATTTCCACATTGCAGGTCACTGGTACTGAAACTACCAATGCTATAGTTTTGCTACGCCAACACCACTGCCACTGAAGGCACTCCTGTGTCCCCTGAGTCCCTTGTTCCTGGCTCCCTCAGCACTGCAACCACTCACATGGCTGCACTATGAGCCAAACCAGAGAACTGATCTTAGGGACAGCCAACCAGGAGGTGGAGAAAGGAAAAAAAGCTAGTTATCCCACCCAAATGCCTGATTCACCAGACACCTCCTAGAAAGAAGAGATGGAAGAATAAACAACTAGTATAAGAAAAGACCATCTTTCTTCTTTTTGCTAAATTGCCTGTGAAGTTGATGTTGGCACATGAAGCTAATGATACGAAACTCACAGTCCCATTAATTTCATAGACATTTATATTTAAATGTAAAAGGTCTGCAAAAACACCAAAGAACGTTTAATATTTTCCTTGTCCTATGCAAACCTACTTAAGTAAAAACAGTGAAGTTTCACTGTTTGAGAAAACACAATTTGGCAAAAACATAAAAATTAGCTCCAAATTTAAAAAACAAAATTCATAAACTCCCTAATAACTTACCACCTGAAAATAATTTGAGATACAGAACAAATTAAATCTATTTTGGGGGTTTTATATATGTACCTGCCCAGATAAAGAGCCAAAGAAAAAGTACCATATTAGGAAGCAATATATAAACTGGCATGCATTTTACAATACCGCAATTGGTCAAATTGGTGACTGACCTTTTATTTTCTACTGTTATTAAGATAAAATGAACATAAAACCCCAACAACCTAATAGTGTGAAGTTAAGAGAAAATTCGTGTTACTATATAGATGTTCATAATTTTAAATTTAGGCATTAAGCATACTGCCAAAATTAATAATCAAAAAAGTATGTTGTCCAGCTTGGAGAAATCAAGGGATCAGTTCCTCAATTAACTCACGTTACTGGAGTGCCAATTAAGTCAGTAGTTCAGACAGCAAATCTGTCTGAAAGTGAGATTTGCAATCTGAATACTTGATGACAGCTTTTGATAAAAGCCAAATGACCTTTCAGTGTGTCCAAAATGCACGCTACCGTGTCATTACTGCAAGAATTTGTCTAAATCTCTTTGAAGAACTTAGATTTGTAGGTTCAACGATATTTTTCTGATTTTTTTTATTTTTTATTTTTTAGCATGACTTCACTGTAACTAACACCAGGAACAGAAACGCCCTTCACTGATATTTCAGAGGCTGAGTAACTCGCCTTACTTCCCCCAGCAGAGATGCCCAAGGGTGGGGGTGGGCAGGCCCGCACAGCCGCAGGCCGGAAGGCCGTGAGGGGAATGCGCCAGACCAGGGCACGGAGCGACGCGGCTCTTCCCGACAGCGCGGCACTACACGCTCCTTAACAGCTTTTAACCCAGCCCGCAGTGGAACCCAACCGCGACAACACCTCAAAGCACCGCGCTGCGCCTCACCAGCGCGCCCCTTATCCGCGCTTCCCCCCCGGCCCCCCGGCACCGCGGCCCCTGGGACACCCGCGCCGCAGGCCCGACCCGCGCCCGCCGAGGACAGCCAGGCTGGGCGGCACAGCAGGGGAGCGAAA